TGGATAAAATAATTTTAAATAAGCAACAGATAGCTTACCCTAAAAGCTGTAAGGATTGGATCTTCACTAGTGAGGGACATCCAGGCGGGGCTAGCCAATGCTCGATAAGTATGAATTCGTCTTAGAGAATAACGCAAACTATCCGTATGCATGCCTTCTTGACATTTCTGACATCCACAAGACAGGGGATGGGGATTATCTATGGTGGCCCCACGTGACAGGAGAAGCTGAAGAATTTCGAATTGGTTACAATGAGCAGCCAATATAACAGGAGATATGTCAGGACAATAATCGGAACTCTCTTCCCCTGGTTGTCTGGTTTTCGCCCAATCGTTTGCCAACATTTCACTCGTGATACTCGGATGATTAATAAGCATCTCTACAATCTTATAAACACCCTCACGAATAGCATACAGGAGGGCGTCTCCTATCTTCACGTTCTCCTGTTGCAACAACAGTTCAACAATTTCAACATTTTCGTTGTCGACTGCTATTTGAATAGCACTACGACCCAGAATGTTGGTGCAATTCACATTCACCGGATTCGGTGGTTGAAGGCACCTGATCATCGTGTGTTTGTCTCCCCTTTCAGCTGCTTCTAAGAATGTTCTCTCCTTAGGATCCATGGATGGTCCGTCCTTTAAGGGCTCTAGTGGGATGGGTATGCGATAGCGATTACTACTTGTCAGAAATCTCGGGTCTTGTTTAACCATGTTTGCGATTTGGGTTTCGACATTTAACGCGGAGGACATCATTGTAGAGGTTTTGTCCGGCTCGAGTCAATATGGAGTGTGAATTGGATAGTCGTAGTGGATCTTAGTTCATCTGAAAAGATTTAAAAAATCGAACAAAACTTCATTATATAAATATTTTGCTATTTCACGTCGGAAATTAAGAAAACAATCTTAAAGATGAAATCTGTTCAATTAAACTTCTAATATTCTACTTTTCTTTTATTTAACTTTCATCAGTTTTACATTTGTTTAATGAAATTAAACTAGTTGATTTATTTTTTAAAAACGAATTAATTAATTTTCCTTCAAACTAAGCAATTTTCCTGTCCAATAAACGTTTTCCGGCGCAGTTCGTTTCCAACGATATTTAGTCAAATTCATTTCTTTTATTCGGTTATTGAGTTAATTAAATGGATTAAATTGATTTGCATTAAATTATATCTAGAAAATTCTTTAAAAATATTTGCAATTAATCAATGAACGTTTTTTTAAGAATTGTAATTAACTGCAACAGTATAGTTCTTCAACTTAAAATTTTTAAATAATAAATAACATACAGCATATGAGATTCATAGCGATCGTACCTGAAGGACTTTACTTAGATAAGCTTTATGCCTACAGGTAGAAACTGGCTTTAAAATAACTTTATCGTGTGTGGAAAAAAAGCGGTCCCACCGGAAATATGGTCATAAAAGCTAGAGAATATAGTTGTTAAGTGTCATCCCGAGGTTTTTTTGATAATGGAAAAGACATTATCACCAGAGATAGCTATTAAGGGTCTACGATTCCACGCCCTGTTGATGTTAAATCCGTTTTCCTCTCTGAACTATTTAACGATCAATGTCTGATCTGTTTAATTTTAGAACGTAGAGTCCTTAAAAGGAGAACAAGTTCTTAAATTATTGATTGTTCTCGTGCAACTGTTCGATTTATTGATTTCATAGCATCCGGGAAGACATTTTTCAACCTGATGATAGCGACGTTTAAATGTATTATTCTTAATAATANCAGTACGTAATTAGAAATTCGTATGTTTAGTTTTGGTTATTTGTAAAGAAATCTTCTTATCGGATAAACAGAACCGAAAAATCGAATGGAAAAAATATATTAAAAAATAGGACACTCAAGGACAACCGAGTCGAAACTGAAAAATTGAGAAAAGGTAAAAATAAAAAATGAAAAAGATACAGCCGCACTGATTAGATTACAGTAAATGGTAGAAAGAAATATGAAAGTTGCAGAATGGAACATTGAACACTAAATGGTTGTTGTCAGAAACGACGATAGCTCGAAAATATTGGATATAATGACACAGAAATAAAATGAAAAAGAAAGAAAACAATTCTTATGTACTCATAAAATAATGCCTTTCATAATCTAATTTTTCTAAAAATTTTTCTATTCGCCATCGTTAAATCTGTTGAAACTTTTCCGAATTAATCCAAAATTATTAGTTAAAATAATATTTATATAAATTCTGAAAAAGTCTTTCTTACTCACATTATGTAATTAGAACTAAATTGAAAATTAACAACATAGAAAATTTAATAGATAGGCCTATGTACAGTACATTTATAAAGTTGGATATTTAGGACACGGAGCATAAGGAACTTCTAAATGGATTTATATTTGGGGCAGAAGAGAATGACCTTTTTAATTTTGTTCGATCGATTTAAGTATAAGATAGAAATAAAAACTGTAAAAAAATTATATTGTTATATGGGAAGTATGTTGAACTGTTTGTTGGCATAAGAAATGACAGTTATTACAAGCGACCCATTTGAGCGAGTTTTATAAAATCGGAAACTTTTACTTTAATTTTTATTTCCACGTATAATTTTTTAAAAAATATTTTACTGAAGACTGCAGTTATTCTCATTCTATTTATATCTCTATTTATCTCTTTTCACATCAGTTTTCCGACACGACACTTCAAAATAATGAAGAAAGAAGCGCGTATTTCGGTGTTAACTATTTAAGGAAAATGAACTTTTATGCAATTTATAAAAAAATTTATTGGAAGAAAGTCCAGATTTTTATTGATTTTTTTCAGCGAGAAAATTTCAATTATTTATTCCATTTGAAAACCTATAATAAGTTAGTTTTAAATTTACGAATCAATTTTTTCAGGTCCAAAAAAAAGATAATAAATTTATTCTTTTATAATGGCATACTTAGAATACGAATATTTACTCTTAAATATCTAACACAATTACTGTAAAAGTGAAGGAACTCTCATTAGCATTTCAATGAATGCTTTTTATTTATAATGAAAAATAAATAATCATTTAATGAATTCTATTTTTTTTATTTTACATTAAAATTACTTTAAAATTGCATGTTTAACTGGAAAAAATAAGTAAATTCTACAATAAAATTTCTTGTTTTCTCTACGTTTCGGAATATATGCATATATATATATATATATATTTATATAAACAATAGAGAAAGTTGTTTGGTTTAAAGCAAAACTTTATTTGCTTTAAAGAAAACAGCAGTCAATTCTTAATTGCTTTTAGCAATTGTGCACTTACCTTCAGTTGACTTTTAAAGGTTAAACATTTCAGTCATAGTATACTTTCACGAATTGCCTTCATGGAAATTAACATAGAGAATGTTGGTGCGGCAGTTTCGGTTCACAATCCAATTTTGTGTGCTTTGTCAGCTGTTAAAGCAACAACGATACTGTCAAGACCATAAAATTAGATTAACTCGACAGACAAAGCCAAAACCTTACATGTGAACTTTGCTAACACCTACAGTAACAATAGAAGACGTTTTCTAAATTCCAAATTTATATTAAATATAATCACATAAATTAGAAAATTCCCGAAGTGATTATTTTTGCAACGTAATTAATTTTTTTATTTTATTTTATTTTTTAAATATATTTGTTCGATTTTCGTCTCCCTTCTTTCTATTCATATATCTAGAAAACAAAATTAACTCAGGACAAACTTGCTATATTTTTTTTTTAGAAAAGGAAAAGAGTAAAACTTTATGAAATAATTGCTTTTAAAGTAAATGTGTTTTCTATGTTACACGTCAAAAGATTTCTTAAGTATTATGCAGAAGAAAACGTTTGCTAAAAATGATTTTAGTGCCGAGTGAAGTAAAATTCAAATTGAAAAATGTTACGATACGGTTGATGAAATTTCATATTTTTCAAAATATGAAATTTTAAATTAAATTACCATATTTGATTGGTGTAAAATTTATTTATATTATGCTTAAAATTATTTTGCATAATAAACTACAGTAGTTTCGATTACTAGTGAAAGAATTTCATTTTTTTATCACTCGTTATAGGCCTAATTCCAACAATCCAATTACAAAATTGCTTATTACTGTATATACATCGAATTTAACTTTAATTATTTATTTTACATTTGTTTTAATTACTATTAACATTAATTTCGTTTCGAGTTTTTGTCCCTTATCTATTGTTCTAATAAAACATAAAGAATAAGACGAATATACATTTTAAAACTCTGATCGTCTTAGCTGAAGTAACGCTAATTTACAAAATCTATTAAAATAACTGTAAAAGTAATGGATATTTGAAAATATATTTGAAATTTTCTTGATTTTTCAATTGCAAATCTTCGATTTCTTAGCATTACAAGGAGTCAAATTACAAATTAAACCGAATTAGTTAGTGAAACGAAATTAGAAAATATTATCGAAAGTTTTCTTCCTTCAAATTAATTTTATTATATAAATCGCACTCGATATGTATTATATTTGAAAAGATTTTTAATAATATAAAATATTTATAGAAAAGTAACAAAACAGTAGCAAAACTAATGAAGGAAGTAATAAATAAATTATTGCCAACAGGTTGCTTCAGTAATGCCATTTTTCACCAATATCCTGTCAGAACTAATTACTATGTTTGTACCAAATTGTGGCTGTTCCTGTGTAAAATCAATAAAACAATATACCAAATTTCATAATATTAGACTTATACAAAGTAACCCAAAAATCAGTTAACTATTATTAAGACTAATTAGTTGTCTTAATTAAATACTTTATTATTTAAAAAGTTTATATAAAATTATTAAAAAATGACACCCTTCTTTTGTTCGATACACAAATTATAACACTTTAACAAATTAAATTATAATTGTTTTTTAAATCTTTTGTTAACGAACGATTCCTACAGTTAATTGACTTTTGGGCCACCCTAAACTTGTTGTTATTAATTAAACTTTTTAATAAAGAATTTTTTATTCCGAAATACTTTTTATACAAAGTAAAATAAAGAAATTACAAAAAGGTTTTGAAGCATTATAATAATGAACTTTTGTCAAAAAGAAAAATATTAATATTAACAATTTGCTCAATCATTGTTTACGTTTTGAGCAATTGTTTTATATCAAAAAATGCAACACCATGCAAATGTCAAACAGTAAATGAATCCAAGTTACAAATTTGATTTATGATCAGTCTTATTGGAATTTCAGGAAGAAAAAAAAAACAAAATACAGTTCAATTGGTTATGTAAATTGTAGTCAACAACTTGATCTTCGATAATATTCATTCTACAGTGTAATTAAGTCAAAAGGGGTAAGTATTCATCATCACTGATCAGAAAAGACAAAACTTCATGATTAATTACCTCAGTGAGCAGTTGTTTGGAATACTGCCCATCTCGAACATGAGGGGAAAAAATCAGATCATTAGTTTGCATATTTTTTCTACACAATCTACTAAAGGTAATCTTTAAAGTTGAAATTTTGAAAGGATCTGTTTCGATGAATAAATATTTATAAACTCTTGCATTACTCTTTGTGTTGGGCTATGTCCAATCGATTTGACGTTTCACTTCAAGTTTTCCAGTTACAAGCTTGCTTGGCAGATGCAATTTTGTTTGCGGTTGATGGATCCTAGAAAAACCATAACATTCCATTCAGGTCTTTCTGAAACACTTCTTTCAAGCAATATACAGTGACTGATGGATACTTTCTTACGTGTTATTTATGTTTCTCGCACTAAAATCCATCTCGGAAAAAAAAACTTGATTTTTCAGTTTTAAAATGGAAGCAAGATCTCTTTTTTGCGCGATGAAATATTAATGAAATCGAAAATTATTTTTCTTCTCCATTTCGACTGGTTCTTGTAAATAGATGCAGAAATATGAAGATTTCAGTATTAACATAAATATCGTTGCGGATTGTATTGATCAATAAATACTTATAAATTATTTATCGCGTATTATAATAGGAATATGTTAAATTTTATTGATATATTGAGAAATTAGTAATATTTTAAAAGAATTTTTTAAGAATGTTTCTCGTCTTTCGATATTAAAAAAAATGTAATTAGTAAATATTAATTAATCCAGTGTGTAATTATTAATTATTTTTAAGTTTAAATTTTCTTAAAAGTATTCAAGACGTTAGTTGAATATAATGTACTCGAATGTACAGTACAGCATTTATTATACGAACAAAAGATGAGTTAGCATTATTTAACATTAATGTTTGCAACTCCCGATTATCCGTTTTGCAGATTATCCGTGTTTTCCGGTTTTCCGTGCACACCCGTATACTAATTAGCATGGACAATCGGAAGTTCGATGTACAGTTTTTTATTATTATAAGTATTTATTCTATTAGAGTTTTAAATAGTAGCTTAAATAGCCTATTAAATAAATAAATATTATTATTATCTATTTAATTTTAATTCTTTACAACCCACAGGCACTAAAAAAGCTAATTTTAATTATAATTTTAAAATTTTTAATACTTAAAAAACATTAAATGAATGAAAAACTATAAAACTTAAACTAAGTATTGGTATTTATTACTAAACTGATACAGAGCTATATTATTACAGTATTGATTTTATAACAAGCCAACAATTACTAAAGATCATTCTTGATAAACAGCTATTAGTAATATTAATCCATTTGTTTATAATTATAACTAATATTGTTATATTCATAGATCGTATGTATAGTTTATGTTTGTGTTTATAAGCTTACATATATATATTTTAATTACCATAGACGAGCAGTTAAATTGCCGTATTAAATTATATTCATCTATTATATAGAACACTTAAAATTTAATTAATTTTTTAAATTTATATCTTCGTGCTCATAAAATATGATATTTTACAAAGTAACAAAAATCTATTTTTACCTGAATTTTATATTTAATACATTGCATGTGTTAAAAAAGGAAATTCACTGGAAAAATATTTAAAATATTCTGAAAAAAAATAATATCAAAATAGTTAATATAAGTTTTTAAATTCATTTTAAAAGAGTATTTGACAAAATATAAGTGATATTAAAGATGATAGAAGGCCCAATGCTGTTAGAAGAAGCAATGCATCATAATATAAATAAATATTATTGTATAATAAATCAAAACTGTAACTCAGAATACAAATAAGTATGAATATAAAATCCTTATTTAAATAACTATAATTTATTTTCATACAGATGCGAAAAATGGCTACAAAATTTAGTGGAGTGGTTCATAAATTTTCTATTGTTAATTACAAGATCTTTAAATATGAAATTTTAATATATTCGGATTCTAAATATAAAACGAAAATATATTAGATTTAATAAGAAAAGTGTTACTTGGACAAGAAAGAAATTTTTAGAAGTTATTACAGCACATAATTCTCATACAATAATTTTATACCTTTCTCTCACTTTAAATACAATCAACTATATATATAATTTACGATAAAAACGGGTGCTTATAACACAATTTCAATTATAATTTTATAAGAATTAAAATGAATATAACGATAATATATAGAAAAAAACCCTATTAATTTTCATTTATTTTGAAAAAATGTAATGGTTTTTAGGAAGAATATGTAGAATTCTAATTTAATATTTATTCATTCCAATTTTTATTTTGGAGGAAGCGGGAAGAACGCCCTTTAGCGATGAAAATTGATTGTTATTATCTCTATTTACTATTTATATTACGCTATGATCATTTCCTTTCCTATCTCGAATCATAAAAAGAAATATATATATATATATAAATTCTTAACAAAGTTTTTGGTATATGTTCATATTTATTCATATGTTTAACTATTTTCTTTTAACAAAAAACATTTTAGAAAAGGATTTAAAATGCTTTAAAAATAATATAGAAATTTATTGTAATAAATAATCTAATATTAATTTATTAAATAATTTTTATTCTCAGCATTTTTATTTGCACAAAATAACAACCTCAAGCGATAAATTTCTATTCTTTAAAAAGCTAAAAATTGCAAATGTCTTTTAAAATTATTGTTTTATTTTTATCAGTTTAATTTCACACGCGTAATTAATAAAGCTCTTATTATTCCGTAATTATTATCGATAGTTTCTAGACTAAATTAATTAGTTACTAGTTAAAATTTCCTGTTTAATTATATTGCTCTCTAACAATAAAAATGGAAAACTGTCAATTAAACACATTTCAGATTTTAAATTCGAATAACATTTTTTTTTTTAATTAAATATATATAATTAGAAAAATAAATAAAGAGAAGAACTTATTTTATGTATTAATTATATGTATGTTAGTAGCTGTGTGTTATATTACATATGTACAATATAACACACACACACACACATTACATATATATATATATATGTACTGTACTTTATTACTTATATAGAGGAAGAAGATAATAATAAGAATGATTTACAAGTAAATTTTTAAATTATTTTGAATATTTTTATTATAAATAATA